GATTTATTTGGTAATATATATTTAGGACGGGAAGCTGGCTGTAACCTGAAAGATCTACTGGAAGTTTCAATATGCATAACTGATATCAAGAGATCTCTCAGAACATCCAGAGAACTACTGTAGATCTTCTGAGAGATTTACTGGTATTATGCATATTGTTGACTTTTATAATCAGATATCCAGAGAACTACTGTAGATCTCCTGAGAGATTTACTGGTATTATGCATATTGTTGAGTTTTATAATCAGATACTTACTCTCCAATTCTTGCAATAATATCAATTTAAAAGTTTGATTTACAATCAATTTGTTCCCTCAAACACAACGTGATTTCACGGGATAACTTGTGATATTACAAATTGAATTAAAATGAAATTAAATCTTTATCGGATCCCTGTTGCATTCTTCATTTTCATCAATAATTTTTCACTGATAAGATTGTCTTTTTATAAGATATTTAAATTTGGATATTAAATTTCAGAAAAAGGCATCCTTCTTTCATTTTCACATTCACAAAATAGTTCCGTTCACAAAATCGTCTATTATTCAATGCGTTAAATTAATTATTTGGAACTCAGCACTTATAAACTATTAAAGATTACTGATATAAAGAATGATTGTATTATTGAATTTCTGATTAAATTAAAGTGTTTTTAAATATCGCAAGAAAACGCAAAATATCAATCCAAAATTCGAATCATTTCATATTTTCTTCTCATTGAAGAGTTTTATTTGACTATCATTCAATTTACCACAGCTTTGGTAATACCTGAATATACCTGACATTAATACTTGGTACGTGACATTAATATCTAAATTTGATACCTGAATCTGATATTTAACATTAATATTTTAACCGAACACCTGACATTTCAATAATTCATGAATAGGTACAAATCCTGAAATAGCATGTATAAAATATGATAAAAGGATTATCAAAAAATTCATTGAATTCAAGCTGATTTAGTTTTATTTGATTTAATTGATCGAAGACAATCTTTCTTTTTTTTTTCTAAAATGAACTTGTTAGTTACCATAAGCAATGAGTGGGAAATAACGTAGAGAAAAACTATCAATATTAGCCTAGGAGTCCAGTTCTCATCAAATAGATGAATCAGATTCTGGCCTAAGAGCTCAGTTCTCATCCAATAAATGGATCAGGTCCTAAGATATTAATTCAACTATGAGTTTTTTTTTTTTTTTTTTTTTTAACCTTAACAATGACGATATACATTTTGAGAGCTGAAATTATCACGGATTTTTGCATCAGACTTAGATTCCATCTTATAGATTCTCTTTATTTGTGTTCATTTCGATAATTAGGCTCCATAAGAACAATTATATTATTTGTTTGTCATTATCTTTCCATCCTGATAGTAAATGATTTGTGCACTTGACTGTCATTCTTGAATGTGACAGCCATTTCTCAGGTTTCCTCTTCCAAAACCCTTATTTTCATTTCGATTCAACACATTTCAAGTATACTTCATAATTTTTCCCCACCTTTATATCAAATAAATAACTATATTCTCTGTTTTAATGCTAAGCTACCTTTTGAATAAATTATCTTTTAACCTCTTTTTGTAAGCTACTTTAATTTTTTTTTTTTTTATAAATTACTTTTTAATTGTCGAATCAATTTTTTTTTGAATAATACTCAATAATCGAACAAACAATGTACCGTAACTATTTGTGATTATATTAATTGAGAGAAATGTTAATATTGATATATTGCAAAGAATCATCGGTCAATTTGTGATCAATTGATTTTAATAATTTGAATTGTTGTAAATAAGAAATACCGAATAAGCAATAAAAGTCATTTTCACGTAAGTCATTTTCTTCGACAATCTTCTACGACAATCTTTCTAGTTCAGTTATTCAATCAAATCACTTAAAGAAACACTACTGATCAATTTAATCAATCAATCAATTCAAATCAACTTAATGATAAACGTTGCATTTAATATTCTCTTCTAACTGTAATAAATACTTCTTCATTTATCAATAAATTGTCATCAATCAATATTTGATTATACCTAAACGCAAAATTTCCAAAACTTTTATTTCATTAACTGTAAGAATGGTTAATGATGCATATAGTAATTATGGTTAGTATGCTTTAGATTTTTTTTTTTTTTTCATTAAACAATAATTTGATGAAATGTTGTGATTTAATAGTGAAGGAAAAGAAAAAAAAGATAATTTATTATTTTTTAATTGAATGTCAATTGAATATGTGACAGTCAAATTATTGTTGTAATATGAAAGTTACATTGATAGGAATAATTTACAGAATACTGAGATATTTTATTTCTTAACATTAATTAGGAGGATTGTGATAAATACAAAAGAATAGATTGATAAAAAGATTTAATAAGGAAATCTGGAAACATCTCAGTCCCATTTCCATCCTCCATGATTCAACGAATGATGATCGCCATGATGATGGTAGAAATGATGATGCCATGGAAAATGTCCATGATGATGATGATGATGTTGATAATAATGTTGCCATGGGCCATCCCAATCATTGTCCCACCAACTAGATGCTGTCACCGATACTGCCAACAGAGCTAACAGTAATATTGTAGCAAATCGCAGTGATACCATTACTACAATATTGATAATTAACGTATTGTACCGAACAAATGATCAAAGAGACTGATTGGGTAATTATTGAACAGAAAAGTAAATTTTAATAAGAAGAGATAATTAATGGCGAAACTTACTGAATGCTTGTAGAAGAGATCTTCTGTTCAGGTTGCTATGAGGAAATTCATGGAAAAGATGCTTATATAGCAAATACTGAAACAGGCTTGGAATTAGGTTAATGGGAAGAGAATTTTTTATAGCTTCTTGTTAGATTGCAATTCTCCTATTTCTCGTTCTTTGGGTACCTTGTGACCTCATTTCTTGTGGCTTCATTTCGGCTTAGTGACTTGACCTCATTTCGGGTAGATAAGTTTCTTTCACCGCGACATTCTCATTAATTTCACCCTTCCTCATTAAGCTGAAATAGGATAGTATCCCCTAATATTTTATCAGTTTTTATGTATACTTCTCACTGCACTTTTCATTAAAGTAGAAAAATAGCAATTATGAAAACCTCCAAATTTTCAAAACTTTTTAGAAGCAAATGGTATTACGACGACTTGTCACAACATTATTGCTAGCTCTGTTGATAGTACC